ATATATATATATATATATATATATATATATATTATTTTTGTGTTTGAAACATGGAGGTTGTGCACACGTGGAGGATAAAAACTGCGGAGCATACGTTTTTTTTTTTTGGTCGTTGGTTTCCATGGCACCTCCCCGTCTACTCTAGTCGTCGTCGTCGTCGGGAGAGAGAGAGAGAGAAGAAGAGAAAGAGAGAGAAGAGAAAAGGAAAGAAGAAGAAGCACGAGCGAAAGGAAACGAGAGACGGAACTCACTTAAAATCTCCACGGCAAAAAAAAAACAAAGGAAGTAAAGAAAATCAATCAGCACAGAAGAAACGAAGAAGGAGAATCAGAAAGGAAGGAATCACGAAGGAGCGTACAAAAATTGAGGAGAATAGTGGCGAATTAAGCACCTTCCTTTGCTTTTCTTTTTATTTTATTTTGATATCTTTGTTGTTTTCGCTTAGTTTTTTTCTTTCTTGGTTTCACACATACGCAGTTAAGAACTGAGAAAGGAAAAGGACAGAGTACATCAGCATTTCTTTGGGGAACAGGAGAGCAAGTAACAGTAATCAATAAAGAAATAAAAATACTCCGTTTTGATCGCCAGAAACCGTAGGCAAGCAAGGAAGAGAGAGAGCACCAACGCATCGTCGCATGCAACCATCGCCGTTCACCACTTCTCGTCTACACGAAAAAAAAAGGAAAGAGAAACTTCGTCTTCGCAGCTGTAGAAATCACACTCATACATCTCCTCTTTACTTTCTATGTACTTTTTTGTGGTTGTTTCGAGAACAGTTTGGCAGTTGATGGTGAGCGCAGTCAGGGGAGAGGCGCGCAGCCATGAAAGAGAAGAGAAGGAATGCCGAGTACACAAGAAAGGGATCACCGGAAAACAAGAAGAGAAGGGGGGAGTACGTGCACTGGAATATAACAAATCGAAGAGAGAGAGAAAAGAAGAGAAGAACGCAGCTGCCCAACAAGACACAGAACAGAAAGACAAAAAAAAAAGGAAATAAAGCAAACTGGTGGCGCATGACAACGCAAGACGGACAAAACAGAAACGATCCTCAACAAGCAAAAGGCCGCGTAAAGCAAAGACCCACTCGTCGCAATTGCCCAGAACCGAAAACCAAAAAGAAGAAGTGCTTAAGGATAAAAATAGAAATGGTGTATAGGAGGATTATTTTACAGTGAGTGCGCGAGGAGGGAAGTGGAAGGATAACGTAAATGGAGCGAGAAACGAAACGGAGGAGAACTAGAACAAAAAAAAAGAGAACATAAACGGCGAGAAAAAAAATGATTGGATACCTTCCAGTCAATGGCAAAAAAAAGAGGGAGAGAGAGAGGTGAACATACAGAAAAACAAACTTATATATATATATATATATATCCTTTTTTGGGAAACAGTTCCGTCGTACATATCAATGTAGCTTGTAGAAAGGGAAGAAAAGAAAATAAAACTTCTACACAGTTGACAAGACTCTTGGTTTTTAATAGTTGCCTCGCTGCGGTGTGCGCTGGCCTGCGTAGTTCGAGCGGCGCGAGTTATTATTGTTGCTGCCGTCCGCTGCACGAGTGGCCCTATCCATCGCACCAGTGTTCGCGAACTGCTCGCTGACAGCGTGCTTCATCGGCTTGCCGGACTCGCCGTCCTTCCCGCTACGCATATTCGCCGGCACAGCAGATCCGTCGAGAAAGCCGCTGTTGCCGTTGACCTGAAACATCTGCGGCTGTTGTGGCTGCAAGCTATACGAAGTCTGCAGCAACTTCTGCTGGTGCGGCGGCTCCGCAGCGCCATAACCACCGCCGTTCACAAAAGCCTGCGTCGTCCACGTGCCATCTTGGCAAAACTGTTGCTGCTGCTGCTGCTGCGGTGGTGGCATTTGCTGTTGTTGCGGCGGCGGCATGTTGAAGCTCTGAATTGTATAGCCTTGCTGCTGCTGCTGCTGCGGTTGCGGAGGGGGTTGTTGGGGCATCATCTGCGGCTGCGTGGAGTACACCGAGAAGTTATACTGCCCGTTGTTGGTGGGCATCTGCGTCACGTACTGCGAGGGTTGTGCCATCTGCGGAGCACCACCCAAAAAAGGCTGCGGCGGTGACAGTTGTTGCTGCGGCTGCGGCTGTTGCTGTGGGTTCTGCTGCGACATGCCGTATGCGGGGTTGTACGCGAACTGCTGCGCTGCCACGGCCGCCGGTGCGGCGATGTACCCGCCGAGAGACGGGTGGGGTTGAAAGGCCTGCGGAGCCATGGCGGCCGGCATGGTGGACTGCATCAAGAATACACCGGCGTTGTTGCCGCCGTGGGGCAGGTGACTGTTGTTGCCGACTCCACCGCCGTTGCTGCCGTCGCCCTGCATGTTCGGTCGCATGCCGCCCCCGTTGCTGCTGAGCGAGTTCAGGTTCATTTGGTTGCCGGCGTTGTTTCCGCGGCCGGCGCGGTTATTACTGCTGCCGCTGTTGCCGCCACCGCCATTGCGAGCGCCACCGCTGCCGCCCATCGCGTTGTTGTTGCCGTGCCGGCCGCCGCGATCACTACGAGCACCGTTCTGATTCATATTACCGCCATACTCGGGGCTGCTTACGTCGATGCCGTGTCCCAGCAGAAAGGTGTTCGTCAAGATGTTGCTCGCGACCATCTTGCGCAGCAGGTGACGGCCGTACACGGACTGGTTCACCGTACCAACGAAAGGCTGTACGAGCTCGCTAATGCGCTCCCGCTGCGGGACCGACACCGCCTCGAAGAAGCGCTGCACAACGTAGTTTGCGTAGGTGTCCTGCATCATTTGAATGAGGTAGTTGCCACGCTGGGCGTCGCTCAGCGGCTTCTTCAGCTGTTTGATAATCTCATCCCGCTCCTCCTCTGTCGCCGTCGTGACAATTCTCTCCGCGACGTTACTCGCGAACTTGCTGCACGACAAGGCGTAGAGCTGCGGGGCCAGCTGCATGACAAACCGGTGCCGCAGATCATCCGGCGCGTTCAGCATCGCGTGCTGCACGACGTAGTTGCCGTACTGGTGAATGGTGAACTCGTTCACACGCGCCAGAACCGCCTCCATAACGGGGCGCACGTTCACCCTCGGCACGTCATGGCACTTCTCGAAGGTGCGCTGCAGGACGCGGCAGCCGTAGGCGTGGCAGGCCAAATCGCCCAGATCCGGTACGAAGGCGTCGATGATGAACTGCGCATCGCCCGGGCAGACCTCTACGACCTTTTGCACGACGTGGTTTGCGTTCTGGTCAAAGACGCACTCCACAACTTTTCCGTCCAGCTCGTGGATGATGGTGGCGCGGTCCGCCGCACGCATGTTCTCCAGTGCCTTCTGCATGACGCGGCAGCCGTAGGTCTGGCAGGACAGGTGCACGAGCTGCCCACGCACCTTCTCCGTCAGGCGGGACAGCAGCTTCGCTTCCCTCACCTCCGCCGGCGCATTCACATCATCCTCCGCGCGCGGCACAACGTCGAAGAGCTTCTGCAGCACGTAGTTGCCAAACACATCTGTGGCAAGCTCGTCGAAGTGCGCGATGACCTCGTTGAAGATCGGCACGATGTTCTCTTGCTTCTCCAGCAGTCGCTGCACGAGACGGCTGCCGTCCTGGTCCCTGCTGAAGCTGCGCACGTAGCCTTTGATCTTGGCGTACTCCCACTCCGAGCGGAAACCGTCGCTGTAGGCCTTCACGAGGGCCTGCGCGGCGGCCTGCTCATCCACCACCGTTATCGCCCCACCAGCCTTCGTGATGTTGCCGCTCCCGTCCGTGAGGCTCATCTTCATCATCTCACGTGACTGCACGCGATCGCCCACAACGCCGTTGTGTTCGCCGCTCGTCACGGCGAAGCCGGCGCTCTCGCCCGCCGCCCCACGCACCTCGCGCACGAGGTGGTGCCGACGACGAGTCAGCGGAAGCAGCATGCGCGGGTCTCGTGGATTTTTCGAGTAGTAGAGGCGGTGGTACTCCTCGGTGTAGCGGTACTCCTCGTCCGGATCGACCTTCTCCTCGTCCATCGCGCCGAGGGAGAAGGTGCCGTCGGAGCCCATGATGGTCAGCACCATCGGCGCCGTCTCGGCACGGCGCACATCACGCGGGTCCGCAATGAGCAGATCGTCGGCGCGAGCAGAAAACATATCTTCGCCATCCGCGGCGCCCCAGTCGAGGTCTTCGGCGCGGGTGCCGATACCAAGGTCCCAATTAACGCCTGCCATTTCTTTGTGTTCCCGTGTACGCAGGGGGGGAGAGGGAGGGAGGAAAGTGGAAATACGTGTGCACGTGATGCGTTCTCTTTCTAAGGATCCTTTTTCCTTTTATGTGCAAGAAGCTTTGCTTTGTGGTTTCGTTTTTTTACTCAAAAACCAAAAAAAACCACAGAGACAACACCTTTCTCTCCAATTTGCAGGCTTGTTTTTTGGCTCGTGAAGAAATGCGCTGGCAAATACAGGAGAAAGCAACGAAAAAGAAGAGAAGAGAAAAGAAAAAAAGAACAAAAGACACGAACACTATATACACTTTAATATCAAGGATTCTTTTTCTTTCTTTTAAAGAAGGAGGCAATTGCATACAATGCGAAACGGGAATAGAAAATAATAATAATAAAGGAGAGAGGGGGGGGGGGTAAAAGGCACACACACACACACAGAACAAAGGATACTTCACTTTAATTGTGCCTGTGGTTTCCCCCTGCGTTGAATGCACACCCCGTAAGAAGAAGGAGGGGAAAAAATGGATACTAGCTAAAGAGTATTCTTTTTATTAATGTCGAACACACGCAAAGATACGCACAAGGAGAAAGACACGCACGCTAGCGGCCGTCTGAACGATGTCTCAACAAGAAGCAATATCAACACACACAAGAAGAGAAAGAAAGAACGAAAGAAAAAATCCAGGCTCGTTTATAGTGCTTGAACAAAGGGAAAAAAAAACAATAATAATAATAATAATAATCAATAAGAGGAACGCTTGTTTCTTCCCTTTGTGGTGGTGGTGGCGATTCTTGTCTCTCGTATTGTTAAAAGCAGCCGCTGAGACACCTCGTTTGTGTTTGCGTTTGTTTTTTGTGAAGGTGTCCCGAAGGCCACAGCAAAGCAGTAGAGGAGGGAATGCAGAAAGCGAGGCAGTCGACCTGGAGGACAACAACAAAAGCAAAAAGAGAGATGCGGTGTTCTTCTATCAGAAGGCAGACAAGGCAGCTGCCTTAATTCCTACTTGTGCAGCTCAGGTGGAGAGAGAGAGAAAACGACGACAGTACGAAGCCACCGCGGGAAGCACCGTTGAAACTCGGAAATGCAAAAAAAAAAAGAAACAGATGCGAGTTGTGCAAGTAAGAAAGAGAGAGGGCCGGCGGACGAGTAAAAAAAGGGCGTGTGGCGAGACCGTGGGGCGACGGATAATCGGAGAGCTTCCGTACCTTCACTTTTTTTGTTTGTTTGCTTGTTTGTTTCCTTCTCTGCGTCTGGGCCTCCAGGTAGAGCTAAGCAGTAAGAACAGCAAGAGTAATAAGAAACGTAATCAACAAAATCACCAACCCCCTCCTCCGAGATAACGGTGGCGCACGATGGTAGCAACGTAAACAAACGTATACGGCAGCTTCGCCTTCTCTTCCGCGTGCACCAGACCTCACGTGCTAAGCAAAGAATGTACGGTCTACCACGCAAAAACAATTTAAAAAGAAGGCAAAAGGAGAGAGAAGAGGGAGAAGGGTGAAAGTGGGAGAAACCGGGAAGACAAAGAAAAAAAAACGCATGCGTGTGCGGCTGAGCCGCCGGTGATGCAACCAACGAAAGAGCTCCCACCTGCCAAAAAACCTCTCCAAAGAAAAAAGGAGAGGGGCGAGAGAAGAACGCGCACCTTCAGAATGGCTGCAACAGTCACTGGCCATTGTAATCGGTGATACGTTCTCCTTTTCGCTTTTTAATCTTTTTTTTCCATTAATGCTGCTGTTCGCACTAGTGGCGATGTCCGCTGCTGCCAGAGAGGTCACACTTGGTTTGTTGTTATCGCGTGCGTGCTCCTGTTTTTTTTGTTTGTTTTATACTACCTTCTGGTGACATCCAAAGTAGAACGAGAAAAATAAAGATTTCCTCGCAGCCACGTTTGGCGGCCGTGCACACCTCAGAAATGCAGCGACGCACCCTTCACACAACGGCATTTTCAAGGAGAGCGCAGATCCGCCTCTGCGTGCGTGCGTGCAGTAACGGCCATTTCTTGAGGAAGAGAACACGAAGTCGACCCCTTCTCACACGACAACACGTCATCCGAGAAGCAAAAAAAAAAAAATAGTAAAGTGATAGTTTCAAAAGGAAAAGAAAAAAAGATTCAGATCTAGAAGTTCAATCACACAAACAGACAAAGAAGGGAAACGCTGAAACGTCTCGTCAACAAATCAGGCCGCACATAAGCTCGATTTATCCTCACGTTGCCACTCCCTGCACATAAACTACGTCAAAAGGAAAAAAAAAATCAAGAAGAAGAAAAAAAGAGAGACTACTTCGCCAAGGTCACGTAGCGCGACGTATTCGTACGCGAAAAAGCGTTCTCAACGGGAGCAGCAGCCTCCGCCACGTCGTCCGCCCCGCCTTTTCGTGGGGCTGGCAGCTTCCCATCGATACTCAGCCAGCCCTCCCGCATCGCAGGGTAGGGGTTGCCTCTCCTCGCGCGCCGCTCCGCCCCTCCGGCCGACGCGCTTACCGGTCGACGTCGTGCAGAGTGAACGGCACTGCCGGTGTGGGGACCGCCACGCGGCGACGACGGCACCACCGACGCCTGCAGGGCCACCGCACTCGCGTACACGGTGTAGTAGTTCGACGTAAGTCGCTCAAACACGCCGCACTGCGCCGCCGGCACTGTCGCCGCGTTGCGCGCGTTGGTGTGGTGGATGTGGGGGGGAGTGGAAAGGGGGAGCTGGTGGCCCGATGCGGCGCGGCGCAGCTGCGGGCCACGGGCCGACACCCGCCCGCCGCTCCCCGCAGCGACGTCATCGGAGGAACGAGTAGACATCCCGCCTCTTCCGTGCGGCGTGCGGGCCGTGCGTGGGGAGTGGATGGGGGAGAGGTCGAAGTCGCACGCCGCTGGTGGCGGGGGCCCGCCGGTTGGTTCTCCCGCGGCACCGCGGCGCTGTGCGGGAGCGGCAGAGGCGATTCGCCGCATCGTATCAACGGCGGAGTAGGAGTAGGAGGCGGCAGCGGCAGCAGCGGTGGGGTAGTGCGTGGCCTGCCGCTGCAGCGCGATGGTCCCACCAGCCTCGCGGTAGACGTCGTGGACAGGCATGGCCGGGTATCCGCTGCGAAGACGCATGTACTCCGCTGCGGTCGGAGCAGCAGCGGTAGCAGTTGAGGCCGCGGTGTGCGAGCGGGGACTCGCCACCGCGGGCCTTGGTGAAGTCAACACCGTGCGCTTCTTTCTCAGGAAATTATCCGTCGAGGAGGAAGAGGGAGGAGAGTTGTCGGGGTGCTTCTTTCTTGCGGCCGTGACAATCGGCGCCGGTGTCGTACGGGGCGTCTTCGCCGCTTTCGCCTCCTTTGCCGGCGGCGGTGATGCCGCAGCGCTGTTCCTGTTGTTGCTGTTCGGAAGATGCAGCGCTGAGGAGCACAAGCGACCAAAGGAGGCACCGCCTGCTGTGGCTGCCGTGACGGTGCTCGGGATCGCTGCTCCGGTAGCCGTGGGGGTGCGTGTCAGCACCTGCGGACGTGGGGTCGTAGCGGTCAGCGCCCCACCCTCCACCACCGGAGCAGCAGCAGCAACAACAGCAGAGGCGTTTCGACAGAAGCACGCGTGCAGCACATCTGGCGCCGCCGCTGCCGATGTTCCGGCGGCACCGACGGTGATGGACGGCGCAGCAGGAGCGGAAACAGGAGCCGCTGCGGGTACTGCCGCAGCAGCAGCAGCAGCAGCGAGCTGGCGTCGGCGCTGATTTGGGTGCGTGATGTACGTCCCCGTCGTCTCATCCCACGCCACGCCGCGCTTCATTGGGGATGCGTTGGCAGAACGATTCGGCGCTTGCTTCTCTGGTGAAGTAAAGCCCTCTGTTGGTTGGGCACCCGCAGAGGAAAGCGGAGACGCACCGGTCGGTGCATCGCTCTCGCCTGTCAAGCGCTTCCGGCGCGATCCACGCTGCGAGGTCGGCTGGGACTGCGACGACGGCTGGCCAGCGTGCTTCTTCGCCGTGTTGCTGCTGCGGTGTCCGCTGCCGCCACTCGCACGCTTCGGAACGTTGTCGTCCTGCGGTGTACGCGGGGTGGCTCCCCCGGCGCCGACCACCACCATCGGCGCCTCCGCCGCCGCGGACCTGCGCTGAGCTGCGGTGGTGGCCGAGCCACGCGGAGTTCGCAGCGTCCCACCGGCAGTAACAACGGCGGCCGTTGCGGTGCCGGTGCGGCGCTCCCGCAGCGGTGTGTTCGGCTTCGTCGTTGTGGCGACAGCGGGGGGGTGCGGCCTGCGCACCGAAGCCACCATCGCGGCCCAGTCCATCGCAGTCTTTGGCGGGCCACCACCCCCATCACCGTTGCCACCGCTGCCCTCCGATGGGGCGGCGCACGATGGCGAGGCGCTGCTTGGCCTCCACGAAAGCTCCGTGTACGTCAGCCCGACGTCGTAGCGGTCGCCCAAGGGACGGGCTCCGTTCTTGCGGTAGGCGTCCAGCACGGCAATCGCATTGGCATCGGTGAACGCGACGTGGTGTTGCTGCTGCTGTTGAGTTTTTTGTGGGTGGTGGGCGTTGCGCTGAGGGAGAGAGAGAGGGAGGGGCACGGTAGTCGCCGCGGCAGGCTCGGCCTCTGCGGCTACCGGTGCTACAGTAGGCTTCGCAGCGACCGTCTTGCGGGCTTCGCTTTCGTTGCCTTCCGCACTGCGCTGAAGCGGCGGGGCGCTGATCCGGGGCTGACTGGAAGCCGTGACGGAGGCCACATCGATCGCAGCAGCAGCAGCAGCAGCGGCAGCGGCGGGCGACGGCGACGGCGACGGAGCGATGACGACGCGCGCTGATGAGGGAGGGGGAGCGGAGGGCGGCACCGCAGGCCCGGCGGCGACAGCGGCGGTCCCCGCGGCGGGCGTCGTCGACTTTCGGCTGGGCCGCTCCGCCGGTGCGGACACGACGGGGGAAGAAGATGCGACGTTGCTGTCGCGGGCCGGCTCGCCGCTCGGCTTCAACACGCTATCCAGCGCCAATGCAGGCACCTGCGCCACCGCAGCAGCGGCGTTGAGGGACGTGCGGGAGTTCCGTGACCGCAACGTCACGGTGGGGGGCATGTCTTCGCTCTCAGCATCGTCTTCTCCCTCCTCCGCCTCGTGGGCATAGCGCTCATCTTCGTCATCGCCGTCTGACATGGAGGAGACCGTCACATAAGTGCACATCGAGTCCCCACGGCGGGCAGCGCTGATCCGGCGTGGTCGGCTGCCGCTGTTGTTGTGTCCAGCACCGCCCGCCGACAGCGACGGCGGACGCTTCGACACCTGCTTTGACGGAGTTGGCGCAGGACTCTCTACGGTGTTTTCTGCCCCGGAGAGAGGCAAGGGATCGGTGTCCACGACAGGGGGGGAGAGGACAAGTTTGATGGCCGTCTTCGCCTCGGCCGCGGAGGACTTGCCCGTGTGGAAGTTGGAGGTGTTCGTGGAGAGGGGCTTGAGTGCCGCCCTCGCCGTTTCAGGCGGGTTGCCGTTGCCGTTGTTGGCTGCTGCTGTCGCGGAGGAGCGCGGGGCTGACGTCGACGCGGTCATCGAACGAGCCGCGGCGCTGCTGTTGGTGCTTCTGCTGCTGCCACCCTTCTCGCTGTGCCTCAGCGAGGCGGAGCCGGAGACGCCGCCGCGGTTACCGTGGCGCAGGACGTACTCTACGGCAGTTGCAGCGTCGTTGGTTTCGAAAAAGATCCGCAAAGCCTCGCAGCGCACGTTGGGGGCCGCCCTCGCCAGTGTGGTGCGCTCCGCCGGAGTGAGGGTGCGCTCCGTGTAACGGTCCAGCAGCGTCTGCATGGAGGCTGGGAGGAGGAGGACGGTGCTGTCGTCGCTGGTGCTGCGGCGGTCGTCGTCGTGCTCCATCGACGGCGAAGGGCGCTGAACGGCTGCCATATTTGGTACGGGAGAGTCTTCTTCTGAACGAGGAAGCCCCAAAACAAAAGAAGCCGCGGCCAACGCTGTGTGTCTCAACGCCTTGATGAGGTGTGCTGAGGTGAGAGCGTGCTGTGAGTGCCGCTGAAATCTGTTTTGAAGAAACAGGGCAAAACGGACAAGGAGAGCGCAGTTCGCCGTAGCGAGAATAACAGAAAACAAAACAAAAAATGGTTGTGCTGCCACCCCCCTCTGTGCAGGAGTAATTTTAAATACGCTAAGGCTTGTAGGCCAACAGAAGAACAATAAGAGAAAAAAAAAGGGAATGATAACAACGTCGATAGAGCTGAAGAGCCCGCGCGTCGGTGGTGGTGAACGAGGAGTACTCGGGAGAGTGTATTGGCAGTAGAGAAAAACAACAATGGATGTGTATGTGTATTCAAGTGTGAGTCTACTACGGCAATTTACACGTTTAAAGGCGCAAATTAAGAAGGAAGAAGCTGAAAGGAAAAAGAAAACAGACGAGCGCCAAGGAGACGTTGCAACTGAGCGCCGTCAACCAACGACTGGAGAGAAGTTGCGCTGCGTTGACTGCGGATAAAAAAAAAAGGGAGGAGAACAAAACGGATCTAAAGTAAAAACAAATAATAATAATAACAATAATAAAATGAAAAGAGAGGAGGTGCGTAATCGCGAAGGGATCTAGCGGAGTCTAATAAAAGAAAGACGGGAAGAGAAAAGGGTCAAACGGAGTGAACCGAAGAAAAGGGAAAGGGTACAAGAAGGCAACAACACCCACAACGGAAGACCACGCATGGGCAAGACACGGAAGACAGACGAAGGCGGGATATACACGCCGGTCGAATAAAAACGACAAAAGGAAAAAGAAGGTAATCAATGCACCTATGGTGATACACACGCTTGACTTCGCGTCGGTGCTGTGCGTGCAGTCTGTGAGGTGTGTGTGTTCTTCTTCTTTTCTTTTACTTTTAACGCACCCAGCAACATTCGAGTTGGTGCATTCACGGATGTATAACAAAGATCGGCTCCCGACGAAAGAAGATGGGTCAAGAAGTGGAGTAGAGAGAGAGAGGTGAGGCGAATAAACGCAAACAGAGAAAGCAGCATTCATTTTTCTGTTTGCTTGTTTGCTAGTTGAGGAGAGGTACGAAAACCTGTGCACAACCAGTGCTTTTGATCTCGTGGAGATCCGCACGTGTGTGACCGCCGACGACTAAGCCACACGACGTAGGGAGTGAAATACGAAATACATCGGAGTGCCAAAGGGAGCACGACAGCGTAAATGCCCTCTCCGCCTCTGCACATTCCTCTCTTCTCGCTTCCTGTTGTCCGGTTTAGAGGCGTTTGAAAACTAAAAAAGAAAAGGGAAAAGAAACGAAAACGAGAACGAAAACTCGGAGCAACGGCGGCGGTGCTTACTTCTTCACCAGCTTGGAGCCGATCGGGGCGCGCGCGGTGGCGGCCTTCTTCGCCGGGACCTTCTTCTTGGACACCGTCTTGGCGGAGATCTTCTTCACGATCGCCTCCTTCTTCGACTGCTTGCTCTTCCTCTTGTTGATGGTGCGCTTGTTGGAGCGCTTCAGCTTCGCGTGCTCCTTCAGGGCCTGCTTCACGATGCGCTGCTCCTCGACGAGGAAGGCGCGCACGACGCGGTCGCGGACCTGGGCGTGGCTCAGCACACCACCGTAGGCGCGCGAGACGCTCTTCTCGTGGCGGGAGGCCAGGCGGGCGTCGATGTGGCGCAGCGCCTTCGTGCCGCCGAGACGCTTGTGGCCGAGCACCCACGGGGTGTGGACACCCTGCGAGCGCTTCGTGCGCTTCTGCATCACAAGCTTGTTGCCTGGGGTGCGGACCATCTTCATGCGGTTGCCACGGGTGGCATAGTGCATGCGACGGCGGTACTGGACGCGAGGGCACGACATGGGTGAACTAGAAGATGACTCGTTCTTTCTCTTTTCTCCTCTTTACCGAGGGGTGGGAAGTACCGTGTGTGGGTGTGACACCGATACAACGAAGGAAAGAAGAAAAGATACGAGTGAGGGAGAAGCAACGGAGTCCTCTCGTTTAATTTCTCTGTTTGGGTTGCGGCGCAGGAAGCAACGTGCAGCATTCGTATGTTTTGTTTGGGTGTGAGCGGAGGGGAGAAAACGGAGGGGGGAAGAGGAGAGGAGAGGAGAAGAAGAGGCAGGGGTAAAGGGACCGCTACGGCTTGCCGCCGTGACTACAAGGGATAAATCACGAAAGGAAGCGTGAGCGAGTACGGCGCCCGCAACTCGGCTACACAGGAGAATGTCAGAACAGGTCTGCGGTTTCCTTCTTTCACCAGCGGAAAAGACATCAAACGTGCACCAACGCATGCGTTTGGAGGAGGGAAGAAAGAAGAAAGAAAAAGCGAGAGACGCCTCCCATAAATACTGCCTGCACAGCTCTGGACGCCCGCGAGAGATGCACCGGAGGGTACGCTGTGCCATCGATGCCCGAAAAGAGGAGGAAGAAGACAAACAAACAAACCGATATGAAGCGGTCTTCCATCACAGTAACAAAAAGAAGCCGATAAAACATTCTCTGTGAATCGCGCAAGTACCGATAATAATAAGGCAAGAGAAAGAGTCGGATAGGCAAGCAGCAGCTGAACTCGTCACATCCTCTGCGCAAACACACACACACACACATCAGCCTTTCCCCTTCCGAACCGCAGCAGAAGCGGAAACCATAGAAATATATATATATATATATATATATATCGCTACGAAAAGAAGCCACGCGTCGTCCTGGTCGGCATCGCGGTCGGCTCCATCTCCACAAAGCGATCCCGCTCCTCCGGCGATTCGGCACTGCCCTGTCGCACTTTCCCCACGTCCAAAATGCGGTCGGTAAAGAGGCCGCCACCGCCCGACATCGCTCGGCCAACCTCCGCCACCGTCCAGTACAGCAGGTGCAACACATCCCGCTCCTCCCACGCGGACTTGGGGTGCATCGTGCGAAGCTCCATATCCCAGTCCACCTGGTGCCACCGCTTCTCCCGACAGGCATCAATCACGATGTGCAGACGCACCTCCGGCGGCAGCGCATCGAGCGGGTCGTCGCTGTCCAACACGGCCTTGCCCACCTTGTAGATGTCCGAGTAACGCATGCCTCGCACCATGTACGCGTAGTCCCGCTGATCCTCCGGCGACAGCTTCGCCACGGTGTCCATCTCTTTCGTAAACGCCAGCAACACACACACCAAGAAAGCGAGGATCAGCAACGCTAGCCCGATGTGCCCAAGGCGCAGCCCCCAGCGAATCTGCCCCTCTGTAACGTGTTTAAAAGGATTGTACAGCGCGCCGTACCACCGCGTCGAGGCGTAACGGCGGACGATCTCCTGCTTCTCCGTCTCCGACAGCTGCACCGTCATGGAGTCCTGCCGACGGGGGTTGCGGCGGCGCAGACCGTTGACGGCGTCGATCAGGCGCTGCGCCGCCCGCGCGTCTGGGTCGTATTGCGATTTGCCATTCATACGCTCCAGGTACATCAGCGGATTCAGTGGCTGGGAGAGGCGGCCCTTGTTGCCGCCACGGAGGAAGTCCCAAAGCCCCGTGGACGGCTTGGCGAGGCTGTCCTGCGAGGCGGACGATGAAAGCTCCTCTGCGTCCGCGTGTGCTGCACCGGAGAAAGCAGAGGAGGAGGAAGGAAACGCAGGAGCGGCAGCGGCGCCGCACGCGGTGGACGTGTAGCGAGCACGACGGCGGGCGGCACGGGCCGCCTCCTCCTGCTGCTCGCGCCGTCGCTCCTCAAACTTCTTCGTCTTCTCCTCCCACGTGCTGGTCCGGGCACGCGTGGAGGTGGAACGCTGATATCGTCGACTGAAGCACAACGCCGAGGAAGAGGAGAGGGAAGAGGACGACATCGCCGTGGCGGATGTAGCCAGCTCGCACCGCGCGCATTGCAGCAGCGTGGCCGCAGCACCACGGACAGCGGCAGCTGGGGAGGAGGTGATGCAAAGCCGGAGCATCACTAAATGGTTCCCAAAACGTGCGAGTACGCTTGCCTCCAAAAAAAAAGAAGGCAGAAATCGAAAGAAAGAGAGGGGAAAGAAAGAGAGGGTTTAAAAAAAAAGAAAACGACACCGCAGTAAGCACTTTGCCCCAAAGAAAGCACGCCCATCCACTTCTGTTGCCATGGGGAACGGAATGTCGGTCAGCCAGAATATACGACCTCTCCTTTTTCTTTTTTACTATTTGCCAGATATCCGCTCAGTACGACACCTAACGCCACACGAGCAGGACCGCCAGCTCACAAAGAGCGATGGTGCTTCATGCATGCAGTATTCTCTTCCCGCAACACTCACGCTCATACGCACGTACTCGCCGAAGACACACACCGCTGTGAACGTGTTGCGCTTCCTTCACAAGTTTTTTTTGTTTGTTTTGACGAAGCATCAAAGAAGTCTACTTTGGCCTTACCCCCCCCCCCCTTTCCACGCTACCAAGTACTGAGACGAGAAGAACCACCCCTGACATTACAACAACACTTCTTTATTGCAGTTTATTAAGCTTCTCCAACTCATCACTTTCCTCCTGCGCTGCTTCTCCCCCATAGCAACGTCGCAGGCGACAGAGAAGAAAGTGGCACCGCTCTTTATATTTATTTTTACTTCTTTTGGTTCCCAACTGTCATGCAGCGAAAACGCGTGGGTGCGCCTTCGTTTTCCTTCCTTTGACGATGAACACTTGATGCGGTACAAAGAACTGAATGACGTGCAAGCTGTGCGTACTGCAAAGGGGGGAGGGATAATTTTAGAACAAGAGTAGACACACCACAAACAAAACGAAAGGGGAAGAAACGGGACGACAGCAGAGTCATTTCTTTCTTTCTTTCCTTCGCCCTCGCGCACGTTTTCCATTGCAGCAGAGAGACGCCTCCGTTAACAAACGCACACGCCACCTCTTCTTACTTTGTCCTCGCATCTGCAGCTCAGTCCTCTCAATGCCCTGTACCCTCTCAAGAAAAAAAGTTTTTCAAGTACTTAAGTTGCGACAAGTATTAAACCAAATTCACTCTTCTCAACAGGGTCATTAACACCAAAGAACTGGTTAAAGTAAAAGACATAAACAATAATATTTCTCATGTTCATTTTGACTGTTTGGACTCCTGCTGTTGTCGCTGTTGTTGCTGGTGCTTTTCATCCGCTTTGGGTCGTGAGCTTCTCTTTCTTCCTTCGCTCATTTTCTTTCTTCGTGGGGCCGCACATCACCGCACAACCCCTCTGCAGCGAAGGCGTGTTCGAAAGAAAGAAAAGAAGAAAAAAAAGAGAGGGATAGAGAGAGGCAGCCGACGGAGTACGTATTTTGAATAACGGGTTACGCTCACGAAAAGCAGAAGAAAAACACCGCCGTCAACAACAGCAAGAGGGAAAAAACTTTTTTTGCCTTCAAGCAAAAGAAGAATAGTTGGAATATGAAACGAAACATATATATATATATATATATATAGTGAACCCTTTCAACAGCGCGCAGCACGCAGACCAAAAAAAAAAAGAGAAGAGAATAAAGCGGGAAATGCCGTCGTGCTTCTCAGTCAAGAAGCACAGAGAACTCAAAAATCAAAGGGAAGCCGTTGCGCACTCTGTAAGTAACTGCTAACGCTTTCTTTAAGCGAGTGTCTGCCTTCATGCGTCGTGGAAAGAAAACGGGGGGGAATGAAACAAGAAAAGGATTAATAGTGGCAGTAATAATAACGTTGACGGCTATCTTGTCTGCGACCAGCTCCCGCATTATTCCTCCTTTGGTGTTCGGCCTTGTGGGTTTTCTTTTCTTTCTTCCCCATCCCCCTTTCTACAGCGAGGCCAACGTAGCCGTGAAACGATGAGGGGAGGCGATTGTAAGTGAGTACCTCCTTCAATCACGAACATGTTTTTAAAGGCATGTTCACGCTAGACTTCCTGCACGCAAAGCAGGCAATACCTTTCAACTTAGGGCTTGTTGTACACGGTACCCTGGCACGTGCGGTGCTCGTACTGCTCACCCGCGTAGATGTCGGTGAAGAGCTCGCTGAGCGGGGTGACGGCGTGCTTCTGGGCCTTCTGCAGGTCCTGGTCCACCTGCTTCTTCACCTCCTTCTCGAGTTTGTTCATCTCCTCCTCGCTCATGATGCCCTCCGCCGCCATGAACTCGCGCATCTTGCGGATCGAGTCACGCTCCTGTTTCACGTGCTGGATGTCGTCCTTGGTGCGGTACTGGCTGTCGGGGTCCGACATGCTGTGGCCCATGTAGCGGTAGCAGTCCAGCTCGAGCACAATGGGGCCTTTGCCGGAGCAGCAGTGGTCGCGGGCGTAGCGCGTCCCCTCCTGCACGGCCAGCACATCCATGCCGTCGCACTTGATGCCTGGGATGTAGTCGCCACGGCGGTAGAACTCCGGCTGGTAGGAGCCGCGGGCGTCGCTGGTGCCCATGCCGAAGTGGTTGTTCTCCACCGCAAAGATCACCGGGATGCGCTGCAGGGCCGCGATGTTCATCGCCTCGTAGACCTGCCCCTGGTTGGCGGCGCCGTCGCCGTAGAAGGCCACCGCGACGTGCTTGGGGTTTTCGCGGTTCTCCATCGCGAAGCGCCAGGCGAGACCCGCGCCGAGCGACACCTGCGCCCCGACGATGCCGTTGCCGCCGTAGAAGCCGTGGGCGACGTTGTACATGTGCATCGAACCGCCCTTGCCCTTGCTGGAGCCGCCGATGCGGCCGAACATCTCCGCGAAGACTGCCTCAGGCGCGCCGCCGCGGGTGATGTACCAGCCGTGGTCGCGGTAGCCCGTGACGATGGGGTCCTCGTGGGTCAAGACGTTCTCGATGCCTGCAGGGATGGCCTCCTGGCCGATGTAGAGGTGGCAGAAGCCGCGGATCTTCTTGAGCTTGTAGGACTGATCGCACAGGGACTCCATGCGGCGGATGCGGAACATCAACTCGAGACCCTTCTTCATCTGATCCGGGTCGTAGGTGGCCGTCGTGGGCAGCGGTGCCATGTCGGTGCGATCGGCGGTATGCAACTTAAAGGCACGCTGCGGCTTCAGCGGCACCGTCTTGGTGGCCAGCAGGCAACGGGTCGCACAGTTGAACATGATGGCAGAGAATAAGAAGAAGACACAACAATCGAGGGGTTTAACAAATTAAGGGGGAAAAACTTTTGCGGTTGCTCTGATATATTTATATTATTTCAAAGTCAATAAGAACAAAAACAAGAAGACTAATAGCGACAGGGACTTTGGAAATGAGGGATGGTGACGGAGACGAATGCACAACGTATGACCTGGTTGGTGAAGAGGCAGGCGAGAAGCACCAGCGGGAACGAAAAGATCCGAAATGATGGGGAGAGAAAGATGGAGATGGTGGGACGTGTCACGTGTGCGAGCAGTACGTACGGGGTGCACTTCTCTCACCCATGCACATAAACTTTAGTGAACGAAACGTTAACAAAAACGGCACGTCCTGCTTTCGACGCTGAGCTTCGCTTGTAAGACGACAAACAGCAGAAAAAGACGATGGTGAAATCTACGAAGTACAAGGCAAGGAGAAGAGCCCTCCTTCCCCTCCCTTCTCCCCCCACGCCTTCGCCTCCGTTTTCTCGCGTTGTTCTTCCTGCGTGCCTCTCTCTCACTTGAAGCGCGGCGCGCTTCCCTGTCCCGCTCTGAATGGGCTGTTTCTTTCATTTCCAGTTCCTCGTGTGGTCTTTATCGAAGGGGAGCGAGATCCTCCTCCATTTTCTCTCTTTGCCTCACAGAAGGAAAGACACTCAGACACATCCGCGGAAAAGATATATATATATATATAACGCACAAATACCCCACCAAAGTTCAAGCGTAGCTGCATCCGTCTTAGTTTACAGAATGTCAGCAGATGAACACACAAAATATATATAAATACTCTCGAACGGCCCAAAGAATATGGATTACGGTTTATATAACGCACACTTCGTGTCTTCTTCACTCACCAGTCAGCAAGGTGGCGGGGAAAAGGGGGGGAAGGAAGAACAAAAGCACCGCAGCAGCAACGCAGAGCAAGAGGGCGAGAGAGAGAGAGAGCTTCAAAAGCCTCGCTCGGATTGCATGCCCGTCCAGTGTGCGTGACGTGTTGAGGAAGAAGGCACGACAGGTGCAGAATTAAAACTCCAGACGAAAACGCAATAAAATTAAAGGAAAAGGAACAAATAACGGAAAGAAAGACAAATAATATGTTAAACACAAAAGGAAAAGAAGGGAACTTGGGCAAAGGAAACGGCGACGTGCAGGGAATTTCTTTTTTATTATTTCGCACCCTCTCTTCATCGGCTGGCGCGTTCACGACGATTCTGATGTAACATGAGTGCCCGGCAATTGGCGCATCGTTCCGTTTTCTTTCTCTCCTTCCTCCCGTCCTTTCCTTATGTAGATAAATATACGCGCGTGTGTGTGTGTGTGTGTCGTGTCCATTCTTTTTTCCTTTCCTCTCGTCCGTACAAAAGCGCATCGCATTAAACCAAGGAAGATAAAGAGTCAGCGGAGCCGCGTCAATGGACGGGGGGGAGGGGAGGGGAGACGCGACAAACCGTCTGGGACGAATCAAGTTAAAACAGAATCACACACGCAAGAGCACGAAAGGAAGGAAGATCGACCGTGCCCATTTGGATCTCAGCGTGCACCACAAAAGACCGGCGAGGAACGGAAAAGCAGAAGAAAGCATCGCCTTCCGCCGACGATCCTTCTTGCTTCTATGACAATATAAAAGGGAACGTTCGAGTGTGAAGTTCGTGCCTGCGAGCTTTCGAGAGACAGAAAAAAAAAAACAAAGGGAAGGGAAGGTTGCGACAAAAGCCAACACCGCAGCAGCCACCGTCAGAGTAGAAATCTACGGCACTTCTCTCTCTTGCTATTCTTTGTTTTGTTTATGCTATTGACTATGATTAGCTGCTGCTGCCGTTGTCCTCTACCCCAGCCCCTCCTTTTCCTTTTTAAACTGCTTCACTCGTGCGGGACGTCGCGCATCCTCCGAACAGTCTCCCTTTCTCTCGCTCAAGTCTTCTGGGGCACCGCTTTTACCGCCGCCATGAAGCACCTCCTTCCTCCCTCCTCCTTCCGGCCCAACTCGTCTTTTCCAGCATCTGGAGGGTATCTCTTTCGTTGTCCTTCTCACACACCAGCGCCCCTTCGTCATCTTCGTCTGTTTAATCAAGGTCCACGTCCGCACGTGGCGCAGGGGTCTCCTCGTTTGCTGGGGCGGCCTCCTTCGCCTCCGCCGCGGCATCCTCCGCCTCCGCCGCGGCATCCTCCGCCTCCGCCGCGGCATCCTCCTCCGCCTTCGTCTCTGGCTCCTTCTTCTCCTCCTTCGGCTTGGGCGGAGCCGGCTTCGTCAGCACCTTGTTCACCTCCTGCTCCATCTCCACCGCCTTCCGCTCAAAGTCGGCGGCCGTGATGGGCGTCTCAGCCGTTTTCGCGGCCGCGTGCATCGCTGCCAGCTGACTGTCCGCCCACGTGCAGGCCGCCTCCGCCTTGGCCGCGACAGCCCGCAGCTCCTCCTCCGTCACGTGCTCCTTCTTGCCCACAAAGTCGACCGCCTTCTTCGCCGCAGCGGCCATGCGAGTGCGGAAGGTCTTCGAGGCGAACTCCGCGTCCTCGCGGGAGCGCAGGCGGTGGTTGGCGGCGTCGCCGATGGCACGGAGAGCCTGCACACGCTTGTCGTACTCGTCGTAGCTTGCGTTCTCGCCATCCTCGTAAAGCCACTGCTCGTCTGCGTCGCACTGCCGCACGAAGTCAGCCGCGGCGTCGGCCGGTGTGTAGTCGGCCAGCATCCCACCCGTGCTGATACGGGGGCGGAAGTCGAGGATGTAGCTCTCCAGCTCGTTCTTCTTTTCGCGGGTGCGCACAATGCGGCAGTCCCGCTCGTGCATGTCCGCCTCGGCCTTGCGGAAGCCCACAATGGATTCGCTTTTGTGGCCGATGATGTCCAGATTCGGCTTCACCGACACCGGCAGCGACGACTCCTTCGTCTTCTTGACCATCTTGGGCGCCTCCTCGTTCGCCTTCTCCGTCTCCGCCGGGGCCTCCCCAGTGGCTGGGGCAGCGGGGGCCTCCGCCGACTTCGCCGCTGGCTCCTCCACCTCCACCTCGTAAACGTCGATCGCCTCCGCCTTCTCCACCTCCAGCAGGCCATCCGGCTTCACGTGGATGCGCACCTTCATCTCCTGCACGCTGCCCCGCGCCTTCGCCGGCGCACCAAAGTCCCACTCGCCAATCACGTACCGGCCGGGCAGCACCATCTCCTTCACCAGGGCGTTCTCGTAGTCGTAGAAGGCGTACAGCTTCCACGCGCCCCTGAATGGGAAGCGCACGTCGAGCTTCTTCGGGTAGCTGTCGGCGGCGCCCAGCAGCCGCACCACCTTATTTACGTCAGGCAGGAAAGGCACCGCGCTGGGCGAGCGCGGGTTCTCGGCGTGGTAGCCGAGTAGAATCGGGTACGTCGGCAGCTCCGATATCTTGAACTCACGGACCTGGAACTTGGGTGAGAGCATCGCGGCCACGATGGCGCACCCACGCGCCGTCGTCTCTGACGCGTTCAGCGTGAAGCTCGGCGTGCGGCCCAGCACGTCCTCCACCAGCCGCTTCAGCATCGGAATGCGGCAGCCGCCGCCGATCATCTCGATCGAGTGGAAGTGCTCGCGTGTGACGCCGGCCTCGACGAAGCCGCGCTCGATCACCGCCCGGACGCGGTCTAGCACTCCCGAGCAAAGGCTCTCCATCGTCGCGCGGTCAAACGAGGCGATGTTCACGTCGACGTCCATCAAGTTCTCCACGTTCAGCGGCGCTGATTGGTTGGCGGACAGGAGGTACTTCAGCCGCTCGCACGCCTGCAGCAGCCGCAAACGGGCCCGCCTGTTCTCCGTCACGTCCACCTTGTAGCGCTCCTTCACCTCGTTCACCATGTGCTCGTACAGGCAGTAGTCGCAGTCGCGGGTGCCGTTGTTCCGATCGAAGGTGCGCGCGAGGATCTTGCAGTTGCCGCGCCAGAACTTGCAAACAGAGAAGTCCGTCGCGCCGTAGCCGATGTCGAGGATGCCGACCACCTGCCCTTCCTCCTCCGTCTCCTTCAGCGAGGTGCCGCGGAAGATGCCGTAGTCCACGGCGGAGGCGGTTGTCTCGTTGATGAGCGACATGCAGTGCAGACCCGCCACCTCGGAAGCCTGGTACATCAGCCGTCGCTGCTCCGCCGTGTAGTAGCTCGGCACCGTAATCACAAAGTCACGCACGTCCGCCCGCACACGCGGATCGGTGGTGGCCGCCTCGTTCACGTAAGTACGCAGCCGCTGCAGCATCATCGCGAGCACCTGCTCGGGGTAGAAGCACTTCTCCTCATCGCAGTAGTTCACGCTGAACATCAAGCGGCCCTCTTCGTCTCCCTTCACGTTGCATGTCAAGAACTTCCGCTCAATTTCCAGCTCCGGGTCGTCGATGCGCATGCCGATAAAGCGCTTCAGCAGGAAGATGGTGTTCTGGGCGTTGCGCACGTAGCGGTCGAAGCCCTGCTCCCCAATAAAGCGCTCCTCATCGAGGAAGGAGACGATGGTGGTGGTCTCACGCTTGCTGACCTCATTTGTCACGATGTCAACACCACCGTAGCGCGTGATGGCCACGGTGGAGTTGAGGTTGCCGAAGTCGATGCCAAAGACAGACATGGATGCTTTATTTACTTCTCTCTTCGCTAGTGCGGTTTGATGAGGTGTTGGAATATCTCCGGCCCTTTTCAAATATTCAATGCTCTTCGAGGCTTGTGTGTGTGTACAACACGCAGAAGAGCAAATCACTACAATTTCAAAAAGGAGGAGAAGAGAGAAACTAATATATATATATATATATATTACACCGAATGTCTGTGAAGGAAAACTCGCAAGCACGTTCGTGCGTTGAGGAGCTCGGCACAATAATAGAAAAGGGTGATACGATTTCAGTAGAGAAAGCAAAACAACGAGTCCGTACTCTGCTTTACCTCTCTCCTTAGAGAAACGCGGAAAGAAACCTTTATACTAACTTCACTCGCGCACTTTCCTCTCTCTCTCTATTCCTAATCACGAATAGAAAAAAACAAAGGAAAAGGTTTGGCGGTGAAGCAGTTGTTAAACACAATACGGCGCAGCTGCGTCAAAGTGGTTAAGAGTGATTGGGCAGTGTCGAAGTCTGTAGAAGCGTAGGAATTTATCTGTTTTTTAAAGCTCTTTTGGGTTATTGACGTTTTGCGTGTTGTGAGTGAGTGAAGTACGTAAGCAGGCGCATGCGTGAGACAATGCCGTTGAGACAGTAAACGCAGCAAAAAAAAATGGCATATTGTTTACGGCGCATGTGCGCAGTACAGGATATATTATTATCATTATAATTAGTTTTTTGGTAGCGTACCGTCGCCAACAAGGTAGAGATAGGAGAGGAAGAAGGGAGAGTGCGCAAAGCGTTCATTGATACACATATATATAGTGGTGGTGGTTGCTCAATGGAAGCCGGCGAGGACGACACACAAGTAGCACAACAAGCTGAAGTGAACGTGCTTTCTGTTGTTGCTGCTGCTGTCTCTTTTTTTTTTTTGCCCTCTCCGTCCCCAAAAGCCCCGAAGCTTCAAACCCGAAAGATTCAGCGCCCTCATCAGCGTTCCGTGCGTGGGTGCAACGCCCTCAGCCGCGAGAGCGCAACGACGGCACCCGGAAAGAAGAAGAGACGCACACGCCTCGCCTTGGTCGCAACAACGATAAACACAAACGGCGTTTCTTTTCGTTGGTGTTTTGTTTTTTGTTGACGTTAATCGACGCGGATGATTTTGCCTTTTTTTTCAAACGAGGAACGTGTAGAATCTAAAGTCTAAACAGCCAGACGGTAAAGCAAAGAAGAAGAAACTGGAGGAGGCGTGCTTCTCCACCGCATCACCTCCTATCGAGAGACCGCCCTCGCTTACCTTTGTGTAACGCCGCTCCTCTCCGACAGGTAATGCAGAACAGCGTCAAGAAAATAGTATAAAAACCACGCTGCACTGCTAGAGGAAGCAAAACGCTAGCAATAACAGTAACCAACAGCCAAGCCATCAAAGACAGAAAACAAGAGATGGACGTCATTGCTTATTTTCTACTTTCTCCCCTGCGATTAATGCCAAGGCCGTGACGGAGAGGACGTAGAAGACCGCACAACGGATATTTCGGGATCCCCAGCACGCGGGCTCTGACCCGCCACGCTGTTGCTCGGCGTGCCGCCGCTAATAACATTATTATTGTGCATTGATCCAACTGGACTGCGATGCTGCACAGCCGCACCAGCAGGGGCGGCACGACCCAGGGACGGGGATGACGACGTTAGGCCGCCGCCTACCGCCGTTGTGGAAACACGGGGGCTGCCGCTGCCCACTACTGCGCTCGGCGTAGCAGCAGCACTACCACCACCGCCCGCACTCGTACTCAGCGCACGCCCGGTCGGGTTTGTATTGCGGAACACGTGGTACCGCGTGCTGCTCTCCTTCGCGGAGGACACCATACCGCCCACCCGCTGGGCGGCGGCGCTGGCTTCACGGCACACCCGTTCAAAGTCGTCCTCGCGCCTCGCCTGCACCTTCGCGTCCTCCAGAAAGGTGTCTAGTTTCTGAGTCAGCTGATCCCGCTCGCGCCGCAGCAACTCCGTCTCCTCCTTCGCCGTCAGCGCGTCGCGGCGTGCGGCGTCGGCGGCCTGGCGCAACTCCGGCAGCTCTCGCAGTCGCCGCTGCAGCTCCTCCACCTGCCGCATCCACTGCGCGTCGTCCTCACCGCGCTGCTTTAGCGCCTTCGCGTCCTCCCGCAGCGCCGCGCACTCCCGTTGGATCAGCTGATACTGTTCGTGCAGGCGCAGGTTCTCCCGCATGAGCTGCTCCTTGTCCTGCGTCTGTCGTTCTTGCGTCATGTTGGCCGTCTCGAGCTCGCCGCAGCGCGTGCGCAGTGTCTTGACCTCCTCCTGCAGCGACGCGCGGGCCTTCTCGGCGGTGCGCCAGTCCGTGTGGAGGGCGGTGTAGCGCTGCTCCTGCCGCGACTTTTCCGCCGCCAGCGCCTCCGTCACCTCTGCCTTCTCTTTCGTCAGCAGCTCGTTGCGCCTCTGCAGCTCCGTCGCCAGGGTTCTGCCCTCGTCGTGCGAGCCGCGCAGCTCCTCCACCTCGTCCTGCGCCCGCTGCCGCAACTCCTGCTCGGCCCTCAGCTGACGCAGCGCTGCGTCGACCTCGTCATGCAGGCGCGCTACCTCCTGCGCTGCGGCTTGACTCGCCACGGCAGCCGCACCCTCCCGCGCTGCGGCGTCGTCATGCTGCCGTGCCGCCGCCCTCGCTGCAGCCTGCGCCTCGTCCAGCTGTGCGCGCAGAGCGTTGAGCTCCTCCTCCATCGCCGCCTGCACACGCTGCTGCTCGTCGCGGTAGCGGGCGGACTTCTCCGCGGCCTGCTGCTGTGTTTGCTGCTTGAAGGCGTCGAAGTCGCGGCTGCGGGCCGCCAAGTTGCGCTCTACGATGTCGAGCTTCGCGGCGGTTTCGTCCAGTGTGTGCTGCAGCGTGGCTGCCGTGTCGTCGGCGACGCCGCAGTCGTGCTCCAGCTGGCGCACGCGAGCGTCGTACTCGTCCTGCATGGTGCGCTGTGTCGCTTTCATCTCGGCCGCCATCGCCGCCGCGCGCTGACGCTCTTCGCGCAGCGCGTCCTGCAGCTCCTCGATCTGCGACGTGGCATCGCGCAGCGCAGCGTCGGCCTCCGTCAGAGCAGCGTCCTTATTCGCGACCGTCCCTTGCTGTTCCTCCAATCGGCGCTGCATCGCGTCGTTAGCCTCCAGCAGCTCCGCCATCTCCTCCTCGTGTGCGCGGGCGAGAATTGTTTGCGACTCCACCAACTGCTGCGCCTTGCCCAGCCGCTCCGTCATCACCTCCAGCTGCCGCTGCGCGTAGGCGTGCTCCTCGGCCGTGACCGACCCGCCCTGCGACGACCTAAGCCGCACCTCCGCGACGGCCATGTCGTACTCGTTCTGCAGGAGCGTCAGCTGCTGCCACAGGTCCTTGTTCTCCGACATGACCGCCAGCAGAAACTCGTCCGTCTCTTTTTCCAACCCCTCGTTGTAGGACATCCGCTGCTGATCGACGTCCTCCAAGGCGGCCTCGGCGCGCTGCAGGCGGGCGCTGACGTCCGTCGCCGCGGAGAGCACCGCGCTGCGTGCGACAAAGAAGTTCGTCTGCGACTCTTCGCTCGACACCACCAACGACTCCAGCGCCGTCAGCAGCCGATCCACGAGCGACTGATGCGTGTTCTGCATCTCTGTCTGCATCCGGTGCACCTCGACGGTAGGGATGTACTGCGAGCGATCCTCGAGGGCGCGTTGGACCTCTTTCGGGTCGAGGCCTTTGTTCGCCTCGAGCTGCTCCAGCTGTCGCTGCAGCCGCTCGTGTGCCCACTGCAGCTCCCGCAGCGCCAGCCGCTGCTCCTCCCGCTCGCTCTGGACTTGGTGCCGCTGATTTCGTTCCTGCACCAGCTGCGCCTCTAACTTCCTCATGTCGCCCTCCACCATGGTCAGCCGCTCCACGGCGGTGCTGTAGCGGAGGGAGAGGGAGGTGTGGGCGGCCTTTTGCTCATTTAACTGCTGTCGTGTGTCGGCCAGGCGGCCGTTCGCCTCCTGCAGCTCCCGCTTGAGCCGCTCCATCTCCCGTTGTCCCTGCTGCAGCTGCTGCTGGAGGAGGGTGCGCTGGAAGTCAAGGCTCGCCTCACTCACATAGGAAGAGGCCCCAGCACCAGCGCCGGAGGCGAGCCCACCGCCGTTTACACCGAGCGAGGATGGCGACGCGGCAGGGGACGAGGAGGCGGCGGCAGCGGTCTGGGCGAGGGCGCTGGCGTGCGGGGATTCGGTGTGGTGGCTTCGTGCCGTGTTCTGCCCGACGGCGGATGCGGAGGCGCGCTCGGCTGCGGTGCCGAAGAGTCGGGGGTCGGCGTCCTCCAGCGGCATGATGAGGGACTGCTTGTGCGACATCGTCTACTGTACCTAAGAAGAAAAGCAAGCAACTTCTATGCTGTGGTGGCTGAAGAGCAGAATTTGCTGCCGAGTTGTTCTATCTATGGTAACTGTCTAGTGCGAGGGGTAGGGGAAAAATATGAGGTGTGGACTACACGTACACGTACACACACACACACACACCGCCAGCACGTCACTACGCAACGTGTGTGCGCGCGTGGTTGACAGCCGGACCTCCTCTGCTTTTGTTTGCGTTGTCGGCGGCGATGCGTCGCCACGAAGAAAAGAACGAGAGCCTTGCCAGGGTGCGAGAGAAAAGATGGGTGAAAGGTAAATGATTCAGCGACACGAAACAAACAGCGTCGACCAAAGAAGAAGAAGAAAAAAAAACATGTTGTTCTCGTTTGCCCTCCCGGACCCGTTTCATTTTTGGCCCTGACGGGTGTAGGAGAACGTGTCCTGCCGTGAGGACATTGGAGGTGGTGCCAACGTGTGCGTGCGTTTCACCCTGTCCTGCACAGTTTTAAGGTTCGCACGGCAACGTCCGTTAAAGAGGTTTCTTTATTTCTCATGCGCTGATGTTCATACAAATAACATTCGAAGAAAGCAATTTGCTGTTGTTGACGACGCTTTTTGGGGGTTCGCTCGTTATTATTCTTTGCTTCATCGCGTGAGCGCGGCATTATGATCCGCATCGTCACCGATTACAACACATATATTAATATATTCGCCCTCACTCAGGGCTTTGACATCCGCTAGATATATATATTTCTTTTTACCTGTGTGTAACACACTGGCACCACGCGAGGGAACAGAGGAGGTAAAAACAAAAAGAAGATATAGAATACGCGATGGCTGCATGATCAGATAAAATACAGAACGTTTCTGATAAGGAAAGCAATGCGGACACATTCACGGTGGCAAATGTTCTTTATTGTTCTTTTTTTTTTTAGAAGCCTTTGCTGTCGTTTATAATTTCTCCTTTTTTTTTAAGCCTCCAGTATTTGCCAGATCTAAAGAGACATACACTCTCCGCGGTGCATGAAGAAGCCGATGAGTTGTTTGCTTGTTTGATTGAGATTTTAAAATAAAATACGCGTGCACGTGCACCGAGGTGCACCGCATCTTCATCCCTGTCACAAGGATAAAGAATGGAACGCAAAGCAAATCAAAAAGAAAGAGAGAAACAAGTATCGTTTTATTACAGATATTTTGCCTTCTGTGCAACACACGCATCGCACGACAAAGCAAAGCACGCAGGTCCTCCACGCGTGGTACACTAAGGAAAACGAGAGCAGTACCTCCCAATGAAGACAACACCCACGAGAAGGACGTTTGCACGAATGAGTGAAGAAACGAAAAAAAAAAATAATATATATTTGCGCACATGTTTTAAGAAAGAAGAAAAAAGGACGGAAGTGACATTTCGCGTGACTCACTCCTAAAGAAAGCTGTCCCTCGTCTCCCTTGATCCGTGGTAGCGCCGTGGCGAGGAGCAGGCAGGAGATCGAGAGGGAAAGGGGAAGCCGCAGCATTGCGCACCTGTGGAGTGATAAAAAAAAAATGATATATATATATATATTTGCTTTGTTTCCGTTTGCACATCGGAACGCCCTCAAAAGACTCGAGAAAAGAAATAAAACACCTGGAAGATGAGAGAGAGAACGAACAAAAATGAGCAAGACGCAATAGCAATAGGAAGGGACAGTGAAGATGCGACGAGCCAACGAAGCGCAGCGAGTCCATCACACTGGATAAAGTACAACGGATCAAGAAACAGAAAATACAGAAGCGGTCTTTTAAGCGTTGACGAGAGGGGTAAAACGCCACAACAACGAAAACAAGAATCCCTCCTGTTCCACTACGTCTTTAAGCTACACGGGAGCCTTTACTGCGCCTCTTCTCGAAACCACAAGAGCGACAGCGCGGCGAAATCGCAGAACTATAGCTTTTTTAATGAACAGAAGAAAACAAACAAACAAAACAGCAAATAACTCGATTTAATCCAATCAAAACCTCAAAAGAATAACAGGAACATTTGAACGTAAAATAAAAACTATATAATAACGATAACTATATATATATATGTAAAAGCACATTCACCACTGAACATATGAAATATAGTATATATCTACCGAAGGCTGCAGGAAAGAGAAGGAAAACGATCTGAGACAGGTCGATCCTCCGTCGTATCGGTTAGCGACACGAAAACGGCAGAAGCGCACGGGTTCAAAAGCGCCATCGTTCTTGATGGGTGTAATTTCAAATAAGAAAAGGGTTGAAAGGAAAGGAAGTATGAGTCACAAAATCTCACACACACAAACAGCGCCGCCAGAGTTTAACAGGTCACGAATTGCGGCGTACAAAGAATGTGTAGACAGTTTTTTTTTTTGAGGGGGTAAATATGGGAACGTGTGTACGTGAGAGGGATTCAAAGACAGTGCACGGATGGCCATCAGCATGTGCGACCACTTGAGGCTCCAACGACAAGGACACAAAAAAAAGCGCTTCGATAGAAGAAGAAGAAAAAGCGAAAGTAATGAAGACGCTCGATGCGAATCACTGTGATTAAGAGGAAAGAAAAGGAAAGAAGAAAAGAGAGAAGCGAAGTACCGCCAGATTAAGGCAGCTGAGTTTAATTGTCGGGAAAGGTAAACAAAGAACGGAAAAAGCAACAGTGGACTGAGATCGAACGCACCTCGGCGAAAGAAAGAGAGAGAAAGAGAAGAAAGTATTGAATGATAGAAATAAAAAATTCTATTAATAACAACCAAGGCATTTTAACGTGGGTACTACGATGGAAAGAAAAACAGAGAGGTGGTTGCCTTCACGATTGAGCAAAGGAACAAAAAAAGGCGAATTGTCTTTAGCACGGCGCAGTGCGAGGAAAACACGCAGCTGAAGAAAAAACAAAAAACGGCCAAGGAACAACAACAAAAAAGAGAGATGTCTACTTATTTATTTGTTCATTGTTGTTGTCTCTCCGCCTTGGAAAGGAGGAGGGGAAAAAAGAAAACGTTTGCGAGGTTGACCACAACATGCGTTGGCCAGAATGCTTCCTCTTTTTTTTTTTGCAAAAGGTAGGTGAGCGTACAGTACAGGCCTGCCGAGGGCTCGTGACTGCAACAGCACCCGCAGCCTTCGTGTTTTCTTCTTTCCATCCATGCGAAAAGCAAAGCCAGAGTTCTGTTGTTGTTCTGTGATACACTTTTCTTTTGTGTTTTGCTTTCTCCGTGTGAGGCGGCCTTCAGCGAGCAACAGAACAGAAGAAGACGGTAGCGTCGTCTGTCGTTCTCAGTTCCTCCCACGTAGAGAAGCCGTTGGAGAAGCCCGCGCCACAGCTCAAGATCAAAAGAAAGGAAAAACAAAACATCAGACATGCACCGACTCCGGAAAATCACACAAAACAAAAACTGACAAGGCGGTTGGATAGCGTCGCCAACGCAACCTCTTCAAAAAGGGGCTGCTACAAGAACAATAATTGGGAAGAAAAATGAGAAGAAGCTCGGAAGATAAAACAAAGAGATAAAACAGAAAAAAGGCTCCGCCGTTGAGGCAGACTATTGGAAATATATACGAAGCCACTCCGTCAACAGCAGCCACTCAAACCTCTGCTGTAAGAAACACAAAAAAATGGAGAGCATGCATCGCAACGCCGTCGCGTTCTACCGGCACTCGTCCTCCACCAGAGAGAGAGAGAGAGCAAAAATAAAGAAGGTAACGGCTTACGCGCAGGTGTAAGGAAGAAGAAAAGGGGAAAAAAGAAGATAGATGCGGAGGTGCAATATGCCGGAAGCAAGTGTTGAACCACGAAGGTGGCCCCCCAGCAGTGCAGCTGAGCGCCGAACGATATCACTGAGGAAAAGAAGGATATGTACATCCATACGAAGACGACATCGACGACGAGCGAAAACACGGCGCAGGCGTCGTGGGCTTGCACCAAGAAAAGAGAGAACTTCAAAGCAATGAAAACGCACGCACACGCCCCTCTTTCACGGCTTTACAGATTCTCTTTTTTACAGTTCGCTTTTAAAAAAAAAAAGCGATGTTTGGCCGATAAGCGATACTGACGAGAAGATAAACGCATCCACTCTGTGTGTTGCCACCTGTGCAGGGGGAAGGGGTCCAAAAATGAGCAAATGATAAAACGGAGATCAGCGAAGCGCCCCTTACTCTTTTTTCTTACGATCATTGTTGCTTTGGACGTCTTCACGCATTCCTTCTCTCCTCTCTTTTTCTTTTCCTGTCTTCCGTGAGGGGGGAGACGAACCTGTGTCTGTACAACAGAAGGTGGGGCATATATATATATATATATATATATAAGTATGATACATCTGTAATGAAAGAAAACCAAACGGAAAGGCAACAGGAAAAAAAAGGGTCGGTGGCAAAAAAAAAAAAATAATCAAGACAAAAAATCGGAAATAAAAACGAAATAATCATCACAAAAAATACCAAAGCAAAAGATCAGAAAAGACCGTTCTTAAGAGCGAGAAGTGCCGTGCCACCGACAAAAAGAAAACGGAAGAGAGGAATACAATACGTGAACATTGTAAGGAAGAGCGAAACACACAATTCTTGAGGTGTTTAAAGAACGGAAAAGAACAACAATTTAATCCGTCATTTTTTTTCGCTTCTAGGTGTTGATGTTGCATACATATATATATATTGATCATCTTCACTCGAGGTTTGCAGAAAAATCGAAAAGAAGATGCACGTGGCGTAGAAGTTCCTTTTTCTTTCTTTATTGCGACACTCAACGTGCAGCCCAGCGGCAGACAGTAAGCACTACAAAAACAGGATAAATTCGAAATGGATTGACATTGTCTTTTCAAGCTTTGAAAAGTGAAGCACTGAACACTTTTTCTCTTGTTAAGGCGCTGTGAAGTGTTAAAACACCGAAGAAATCGAAAGAGAGAGAAATAGATGTGCTGAAAAAGGAGAAGATAAGCGAGTATCACCCGTGCGCGATACAGAAAAGAAGGGGGCACAAAACACAAATGAGAAGGAAAAAGACATTCAAGAGAAAAAAGGAAGAATAACATCCACCTGATGATGGGTTGTCGCTGATTCGAGCCAGTTTCGGGGCTTTTTCGGTAGCACCTCTCGTCTTTTCTCTCTTACGAGGCATACGTTTTGGGGAGGGGAGGGGGGGGGATTCAAGCGTCATCAGTTTGGGGTTGATTGAAAACTACAGAAAAGCAATACAATGAGAAAGGAAACACTCCAGCGAGATTCACAAGCTGGTAATTGTCGAAAAGATGTCATGGAAGTATGTATGATAACAGCGGAAGCAAAGGTATTCAAGACACAACTTTGAGAAAATACATGTGACTATATATCCGAATCGCTCTGCTGCAGAGCGTCTCTTTTGAAAAGCAAACTCAATATAACACGGACAGCGTGTGCGTGAAACCAGTCGAAGAGAGAGGCATGCGCATGCACGTGAGCGTCGCAAGCGTCCGTAGCCCGCAAAACTCTTTTTCAGGTTTTTGCTGTGGGACTCGGAGTACGCATGCCTGCATGCATGGTCTTAAATATATATATTTAAGAGTTCTTATGTGTGTTGCGATCCTTGAACAGAGCAACTTGAATCCATAAAGAACATAAAAAAGATAAAAGCCGATCGGCATTGCCTATAAGATTTAAAACGTAGCCACATAAGTTAAGATATAAATAAATATTATATATATATATATATATATAGTCATAGAAAC